TACAGGCGAGCTGTGCATTGCTCAGCAAAGCTGCAGACACAGGCGCTGCAGTACCCGGTAGGCTCCTCGTGCCTGGACAAGTTTCCTACATTTTCTCATAAGTCCCCAGGGCTTCCCGCTGTCAGCTGGTAACATAGCATAGCATAAAAATCCCCCCCACCTCCATTCGCTGAGCACATGAAAGCCCCTGGAATGGCTGGGAAGTTCGGCAAGAGATTTTGGCCCCAACCCCTGATTCCTGCAAGGCGCCTGTTGAGCACCTTGAAGCCGATGAAGAGCCAGGGAAGATACTTTCGTATCATACCGATAAGGGTGGGTGAACATGGTGGAGCCCTGCCATCCCCCTGATAGCCCCAGCCCGATGGGAGTTAAGTGCCTAAATACCTTTGAGGGCCTGGGCCAAAATTTCCCTGAGGGCATCTGCCTCCTGGTGGGCCACATGCATCTTGGAAACAGCTGTTGCTGGCATCTGTTAGTGTCAACGTTACACCAAGGTCTGTAACATAAACCATCCACACATGGCCAATCCAGGCTGGTGTGGAATTCAGCATCAGTGTGAACTGAGACTTTGGTACCCAGGACACAGCCTGGACTGCATCAGCCTTCGCTGACAATCTCTGTGTTGCCAACTCTGGCAATTTCATTGTGATATTTTGTGGTTTTCTGAAAGCCCCAGCTACTGGAGTCATGGGAATATGAGAGACGCTCAGCTTTCACTTTAAAAAAAAGCAGCAAGATTCTAGCCAGCATGGTTGCAGAGAAAAGCTTAAAAACGTGCTCCCAGTGCAAAATAAACCGGAAGACAAAGAAAAAGACCCAGAATTCATAATTTTTAAGCCAATCTCATCTTTTTGAGGCCTGACTCTTGACAGCTCAATGTTTAGGGCTGGCAATTCTAGATCCTTAGGGGGGTTGGTTTGCTACATCGACAGACCCACAGAGCCAGACTGAAAAGAGCTACTTGGGGCCAGATCTGCAGTCCAGTCCCCAGCCCCCAGCTAACACAGGGATGTTTTTCACAATAAAGGGCTTTTGTCCAGCCCAGGGCTCCCCCTGCTTCCCCTGGGACTTCGCTCCGTGGCCTAGTAAAGCAGATCTAAGTCTGAAGAAATGTCTCCTGGCATTGCAGGCTTTCATCTCATTTCCTCCTTATGCCCCCTTTCCTCTGGGTAATGAATTCCTCACGGCAAGGCTCCGCGGATACTTTTTCAGCTGTCTGTTTAAGCACAGCACGGCTGCTCCCCAGACACATCAAAAGCCTGATTCCGCTCTCCGTGCGCGCTGGTGTCAAGCCATCAGCGGCAGTGGACTTCCTCCAAGATCAGGAGGGCTCCCCTTTATTGAGCCCCTGTAGTGCGTCTGGCGCTTTCGCAGCGGCTGCCTGGTGCAGGAAAGGAACAATGGCTGCTCGGCTACTCGGTCTTGTGCTTCACTGTGGACTAGCGGCTTGCAGGGGGATGCTGAAATCCATGCTCAGTCTAGCCCGGTTTGAGGTAGACGGGCCAGATGCTGAGAATCAGGAGTACAGAAGTCAGTGGAGTGACTCCAATGTGCAAACACTGGTCGAGGTGAAACCGGAATCAGGTCCTCGGAGTGTAAAAGAGCAACTCCAAATCCTCAGCTGCTGTAAACTGGTGCATCTCCATTGCCTTTGATGGAACTACGGAGGATTTACACGAGCTGGGGATCTGGTTAACTGACACCATCTAAGGAACTGGCCCCACTGACTTCTACTCCCTATTTAGAATACACTGGTAAAGGAAGGTATGCTTTGCCGGTGGGAGTTCCTACACAGCGCCTCCTAGGGGCCGTAGCGTACGATGCCAGCCCATGTGGAGACAGAATGTTAAACCTACACTGTCCTCGCTGCATCAATGCAACAGCCCCCAGTGGCTTGCAAAAATCCCTCCTGCTTTCTGCATCTGCCCTCAGCGCTTTACCTGGAAAGGAGTAATAGCCCATCACCACCCTTCTTTCAAAATCTAAAGGGCCAGATTCAGTCCTGCTCCATTTAAACCGACGGATTGACACCAGAAGTGAATTTGGCTTAGGAACTTGTGCGGCCTGTTGGCTAACCCCTGCCCTCTTTGCGCCCACATCCCCTAAGCAGATATTGTCCGGACCGGCAGAGTAACGCAACGCTGGTTGCTGTCACCCTCTTATTATGAAGGACCCAGCTGAGATCAGGGCCCCACCGTGCTGGGTGCTGTACAAACATATAGCAAGAGACACTCCTTGCCCCAAAGAGCTGACTGTCTAAACAGAAAAAAGAAAAAATCAAGGGGAAATGACTGGCCCAAGGTTACTGGCAGAGGTGAGGACAAAAGCCGGGTCTCCTGAGTCCCAGTCTAGTGCATTACCCACTAGACCACACTGTCTTACCTGTTAGCTAGTCACGTGTCATGTCACTTATTAAGGAGGCTCTCTCTTTTGACTCCAGTTGCCTTGCTTCCACAGGGTGCTCGTGGCAACGACGGTCTCCCTGGCCCAGCTGGTCCCCCTGTAAGTACTTTGTTTTCTGTATATTACGTCTTCTAAAATGACAGTCTTTGCACAGGAAGGTTTTGCTGAAAACTGGCTCATTGTGTGTGTTTTAGATGGTCGGAAATATTTTTTAAAATGGGCCCCGGCCCGTGTACCCTGGGCTCCCTCCACATCACATCCTAAGCGCAGGAGCACTAGTTATTATTTATTGTTTGTATTGTGGTAGCACCTCTCAGCCCCAGCCCCGGCCCCAGGGCCCCGTTGTGCCAGGCACTGTCCAAACACAGAACAAAACACCGGGGCCTGTCCCGAAGGGATCACCCGCCCCCAATAAGACAGAAAACATCACACACACGCACTCCCTCCAGCAATTGCCCACCCCTCTTCCCCCCCAGCAGAGTACAGGAATTGGATGGTATCCCCTTAAATAGTTAGTGAGCCCTCCAGTGGTGCTCACCGTGTTCTGTGCGGGTCTCCAGCAATGTGAGCTGTACGATGAGAGCCCCCTGTGACAGTTCCCCCGCCAGGAGATAGTCACTAGTCTGCTGCACTTGTGCTGCTAAGGGGTAGGGATTGATTGCTGCTAGCTCTGGGCTGGTGCATACCCCATGTCTGGTACACGTCCCTTGGTAGTGCCCCTGCGAGGCCCACCTGTCTAGACCATGCAACTCAGCTGTCCTGAGTCCCTCCAGTGGCCTATACTCGTCCCCTGGAGCTCCCGCCTCATGGGCCCTCTGGTTTAGATTTTAACCCTCTGGGGACCATGCAACACGCCCCACCCCTCCCGACCTGCTAAGGAACCCTTTGTCTGTGCTTTTGTGGGCTTCAGTCCACCCACCGTCCCCAAATGGCTGCAATCCTGCCTGATCTTTGAATTTGGACTTTGCTGCTCTTCCTTGCGGGCCGACTCTAACTTCTGTTTCTCTCTGCCCAGGGACCCGTCGGCCCCTCCGGAACTCCTGGATTCCCTGGCGGCCCAGGCTCTAAGGTAGGTGATGAGTCTCCGGCAGACACTTCTCACATAGCTGAGCGCGGAGCCGGCCAGAAATGCCCTCCCTCGGCATTTTTGCAAGCATCAGTGAAAATCCACTGAGCGCTTCAGTTCCTCCGCTCACCTCCAGTCTGACATGTATTCTCTGGGTCACCTGCTGGAGCAGTGAGCAAAGATGGGATGAGAAGGAGTGAGTGTGAAAGGAGAGAAAGAGAGAAAGAAAAAAGAAAGAATGGGAGGAGAGTGAACGACAGAAAGAATGAATGAGAAAAAGAGATAAAGGTGGGGGAAATGTCAGAAAGGAAGGAAGGAAGAGTGAGATGAGAGAAAGAATGGGAAAAGAAAGAGAAAAAGAAAGAAAAAATGGAAGAGAAACTGAATGAAAAAGAAAGAATGAATGAGAAAAGAGACAAAGAAAAGGAGAGAAAAAATGGAAAAAGAAGGAGAAAAAAAGGAAGAAGAAAGAATGGGAAAGAGAGAGATAAGGAGAGGGAGCAGGAGAAAGAGCAGAAGAAAAAACAGAGCGAGGGAAAGAAAAAAGGCAGGTGAGTCTAGGGAGTAAACAGGGCTGCCCCAGGGGGGCTCGACCCTGGAAAATGCTGAGCGCTCCGGCCCCTAACAGAACTTGCACTTTGCTTTAAGCACGTGCGGCAATCGCATGAACTCCAACGGGACCCATTCGCGGGTTTATAGTGAATCTCGTGTTTAACGGCTTTGGTGGCTCAGGATCGAGCCCCTGGTTAAACAAATAAAGCGTCAATAAAACCAGGCCCGGGGGCAAAGCATCCAGCTGAAAAATGACCACCCAGAGGGCCAGGACAATCTGGAAAAAGGCAGCCCCCGCCCTCCAGATTTCCCAATGCCACCTCCTTCCAGTCCAGGGGCACCCCCATAAGTCCTGTCTCCTCCCCCCACATGTCCCAGCCTGGTGATTTCTTTAATCAGATGCATGGGATATTTCCCTGGGACTCCCCCTTGCAGGAGTCTGGCTGGGAGGCATGTGGCATTTGGCTCCTGGCTGCTATTCTCACCAAGGGCCGGTTTCCCCAGTTACCAGACAGCACAGGGCACCACGGAGATGCAGTCACGGAGAGGCAGACAATGGCACTTCAGTAATAATCATCCTCATTATGAGCAGCGGCGCGGGATCGTCGGAGGAGATTGAAAGACATATGATCTCCCCCTCCCCGATGCAGCTGGGGGGCGGATGAGAGCAGAGAGCTGTGTTTGAAGTTTGTTTATTCAGCTCCGGGTCTTTTAATCCCAAGAGGAGAGAATTTATTGAAAAAAATCAATAAATCCCCAAGTAAAAGCAAAGCCGCAGCGGCGGGTTGGGACAGGGGCTAGTGCAGGCTCAAGGTATGTGTGGAAGGAGGCTGCGATTTTCCAAAATCTTAGCAATCTTTTCCAAAAACGAAGCGATTTTGGCTGCCTGGTGTGAGATCCCCTAAAGAGGCCCGGGCTTCCGAGAGCGTGTCCCTCAGCACTTGCTGGAAATCAGGCTTCTTGAACGGGGTCTCCAGTTGGGGTCCCCCAAATCACCAGCCACTTTGGAAAATCGTGGCCCCAAATCCTCCCAAAGAGACAGAGGAAAGACACTCATACGTACTGGTGCTGGGAGGGGATTCCTTCCTGTATTGGCATCTCCTTAGAAAGGTTCACCCACACACACCGCCCCCTAGGCTGCTGTATCGTGAGTGACCGGAGACACTAGGCTGGGAAGTATATAGACACCCCACTGAGATCAGAGCCACACCGTGCCGGGCACTGCAGACAGACCCTGCCCAGATGAGCTCACAGTCTGCGTAGACCGAGGGTGGGAGGGGAAAGTGACTTGCACAGGGTCACGCAACCCGTCAGTGGCAGAGGTCAGGCATAGAGGCATCACCCACTAAGCCACGCTTCCTCTCCCGTTTACAGGCTGTTCCACTTTTTAACTGGACAGAGCATCTAGCCCCATCCACACGGAAGCCTCCCGGGCCAGGGTGGTTCAAACAGGATGGCATGTAGGCATTGCCTCTCCGCTGTGGGATTCTGCTTTCTTTATCCCTTTTCCTTTTCCCTTCGCAGGGGGAAGCTGGCCCCACTGGCGCTCGAGGCCCTGAGGGTGCCCAAGGCCCCAGAGGTGAATCTGGCACTCCCGGCTCCCCCGGACCTTCAGGGGCACCCGTAAGTAACTTGCCCCTTTCTGCCGCGGTAGAGGAGGGGCCTAGCCGGGGGGGCTCTTGTGCTTAATTGCCCCCAAGCCTTCAAGGGGGGTGAGGGCTATAATCACAGAGAAAGGAGAAAGCCCACCCAGGTGATGAGTTACCTGAAGAACCCCTGTCCCTCGGGAGCACAGGGTCCCCGCCCAGTTTAACGCCTCCAAACACGACCCCCTTCTGGTGTCGTATCTCTTCTCTTGCCCCAGGCAGCCAGGCTCATTCGGCCTCACGCCCACTCCCACTATGAGTGGTACAGGGAGTATTAACTTCATTTTACCAGTGGGGAAACTGAGGCACGCCGGACTTGAAGGCGCAGATCTTCAAAGGTATTTAGGTCCCTAATTCCCACCAGATCAAAGGGAGTTAGGGGCCTAAATACCTTTGAGGATCTGGGCCTAGCTGACTGGCACGAGGTGACACAGGAAGAGCACTATCCACTAGGCCATCCTTCCTCCTCCGTTAGCATCCCTGATCTCTTCCCCCTGCATTGTGGCAGGAGTCACCCCTCCCACCATCAACCGTGCCTGATCAATTGGAATCTAGATCCAGCTTCCTTTCCCAGCAGGTTCCATTACCTGAACTGTCCCTCCAGGGCCTCAATATATATTTAACCCTGCCTTTCCCCTGCTGCAGCTGCAGCCTATCAGGGCTTGCTCCGGCCCCTCCAGCTGTTAGTCTGATTGACACCTGTCACTGCAAGTGTTAGCCTTAGTCACGGCCCTCTTAGCCTTTCCCCAGAGGGGAATTTGTTGAGTAATTCTCCCCCTGCTGAATTCCCTCCTGTTTCTTTGGTGGAAGCTACAACAGTTCCCCATAGGATCTCCCTGGCCCACTGGAAAGGGATTTGCTAGTCGCTCATTGATCTTCTCCTTGCTTCTAGGGTAACCCTGGAACTGACGGCATCCCTGGCGCTAAAGGATCAGCTGTGAGTAGGACTTGGCCTTGACGCCCAAGGGGAAGTGGGGAATTCAGTGGGGTGGACGGAGCCTGAATTCAGTGGGGTGGACGGAGCAAAGGGGGGGGCGGGTTTCGAGTCATCTTGGCCCAGCTCAGTGGGTACATCCGCCCCTGCCGTGGGAATTAATGCCGCATGGATGTGCTGAGCCGAGGGAGGTGGTGGATTCTCAGCTGCAGGGCGACGGGACGGCTGAACCCTTTGCTTGTACCTCCTGACCGCCGCCGCCTCTGTGCTGTCAACAGGGCGCTCCTGGAATTGCTGGTGCCCCCGGCTTCCCTGGGCCACGTGGGCCTCCCGGGCCTCAAGGTGCAACGGGGCCTCTGGGTCCCAAAGGTCAGACGGTAAGAACCTGGGGGAGCAGGTCTGTAGCAGGGGACGTGTTCGCAGAGCACAAAGAAATGCCGCGTCCCCCTTCCATACACCACAGCCTCCCCCACTGGTGCTGAGCCCCCTCGATGCCACAGCCTCCCCCCGGTGCCGACCCCACAGCCTCCCCCCCCGCGCTGACCCCCCCCCCCCTCCCCACAACACCACCGCCTCCCCCGGTGCCAACTCCCCCAACGCCACAGCCTCTCCCTGGTGCTGCCCCCCCACCCCCCACGCCACAACCTCCCCCCGGGCCACATTCTCGTCCCACTGCCACCTTCCCCTCTCACATACTGCAGATTCCACCTGCCAGACGCTGCACATGATGCCTCTTACCCTTCCCTTTGCCACAAATTCTGCCCTGGGCTGCTGTCCCAGGCCATGTGCCCCAAATCCCCCTCCCCCTGCCAGGTGCCCTGGGGAAAGGGATCAGCGTACGCCATCGGATACTTCAGGGTGTGCAAACACCGCTCCCTTGGAAATCCACACCAGAGTGGCATTCACGGCCTGCGGAGATGTACCTGGACGGGCGTGTGGGACGATGAGTGACGAGCTCTCTCTTTCTCTGCAGGGAGACCCTGGCATTGCAGGCTTCAAAGGCGAACAAGGCCCCAAAGGTGAATCTGTGAGTATCCAGCAAACCAGCTCGAATGTGATCTATGGTCTGAAGAATTCCTATGATTGACAGTCACGGGCCATCCAGTGCGAACCCAGCGGTGGGCAGTTGTGCCCATGCAGATGCCCCTTAGACGTCACCCTCCAGCACACGCCCTGAGGGTCCTCTGGGCAGGACTCTCAGGCGCTGAGCACAGAATGACAACCTTCTCCTCCCAAGCCCTGAGCAGGATACGTCCTGACCTAGTCGTGCCAGTAGACACCCAGTTAACATAGTGAGTGACAGATACTGCCCCAAAGAACCGATGGCCTAACCAGTGCAGGAGGAAACAGAGAGGAAGGTGTTACCTAAAGTCACCAGCAGAGCCCGGAACAGAATCCAAATCTCCTGAGTTCCAGTCCAGTGCTCTGCACGGCCTCCCCAGGGTGTAGTTTGAATCCCATCCCTTGGCCGCGCTGGGGTAGCCCTCGTTCCCTCGTGCACCTGTTCCCTGCTTCACGGCACGCTTGGCAGAAGAGAGAGTCTCTCCCGCAGTTAATGAGCCTTTTCCCCTAACTGGCCCCCTGGCTAGCAAGCCCTGCAGGGCCCTCTCGCTGAGCTCACGGAAGGCAAACAATAGCCACCCTGTTGCCTTTAGCCTCTGCCTCCCAGAACTTCTCCGCTAGGCCAAGAACATTCTCTCACCACTCCATTAACCCGGGTTCCTTCTACGTTGCTATTATTAAACAACTCTGAGAGGCTCTGTCTGAGATCACGGCCTCACGGCGCTAGGGGCTGTACAGGCAGTCCCTGCCCTGGGGGAGCTTGCAGTCAAAATGACCCAGACAGAGGTTAGTGGAGGAAATGGATGCAACTTGCCCAAAGTCACACAGCAGAGCTGGGAATAGAACCCTGGTCGCTTGGTTCCAAGGGCCAGACCCTACCCACTAGACCACGCAGCCTGCGGGCAAGGCACATGCCTCCGCTGGTAGGTGATAGAGGCCATGTACCTCAGTGGCTGGCGCAGGAAGGTCCCTCGCACTGTCCTAGGCTGCGGGCGAGAGGACGGGGAAGCCTAATGCATGTTCTCCTTGTGTCCCCCCGCAGGGCCCCGCAGGGCCACAGGGAGCACCCGGCCCAGCTGGCGAAGAAGGCAAGAGAGGTGGCCGTGGTGAGCCCGGTGCTGCTGGGCCTGTCGGACCCCCTGGAGAGAGAGTAAGTGCCGTCAGCATCACGCTTCCACGCTGGCGGCATCACCATGCTTGGCAGCCTGGCACGGGACAGAAAGCCGGTGATAGCCACCTCGGCACGAGCCCTGGGATACATGGGGCAACAGCCCCGGTGGCAGGATCCCGGGGAGCCAGGGTGTAAAGGCCACCCGGGGGTGAGCTGCAGGATCGGCAGCCCCGTGATGTGAGCCCATCATGGTGCAAGTCCCCGGCATTCATGGCGTGTCTGCCACGTGGGACTCGCAGTGTAACGCCCACCCCAGGGCGAGCCCTGGACTCCCAATTCAGAGTGAGCTCAGCTACAGGTGTGTGGCTTGGGGTGGGGACTGCTGAGATCGTCCATCTCCTTGGCCTGTACAGTGCCGGGAAACTAGTGGAGGGAGCGTAGTGGTACCTAATACCTTGATGCCACCCTTGTTATCTCCTCCTTCCTAGGGCTCTCCTGGAAACCGCGGCTTCCCAGGTCAGGATGGTCTCGCTGGGCCCAAGGTGAGTGAAACCACTGCCCCTGTTCCGTGAGCGGACCATGGGGGTAGCAAATGATCTAGGGGGCGCCTGCCATAGACTCAGCCTAGGCATCTTACTGTCCTGGGAGAGGCTGGACAAAAAAGGCACCTGGGTGGAATTTATTGGCAGAGGACCATCCCCTGCCCTGGGGTCTGGTGCAATCCACCCAGGAGGAGGGCCGCTCGACCATCTGCATGACTTCTCGGCTCAGCTCGGCAACATCTGCCCCCAGAACCGTTCCTGAGCAAAAATAAGGTGACCCTAATATAAGACACTGGGCTCTGTCCGGAGAGAGCCAATTTCCTGCCCTCTCTCAGCTCCCAGCTGTGGTTTATATATGTCCCTTCTTTCCCAGCATGCCTTGCCCCCAGGTGGGATTGCCACAGGGCTGCCCCGGTGGACTCCATTTCCCAGCCTGCCCTGCTCTCCTGGTTCTGAAGTAGAGGCTGAGAGGAGAGGGGGTTGGAGACTACAGGGACAGCATGAGATCAGTCCATTGCCTATGTCTCCTGTCTCCCAAGTACCTTTCGAGGCTGGATTGGGCTGGCTCAGAGGAGTTCCCACCCCAGTCCTTAAAGAGCCGGTGCACCTTTTTACAGGGATCAACCCAACGCTCAGCAGCCTTAGTCATGTTGATTTCAGCGTGAGCCAGATTGGGGCCCTTAGCGATGACATGTCAGCCTCGCCTGTCCCTAGCCAGACTGGTTGTGGTGCATCCGCCTGCCCCTGTTTGCCCCCTAGAACTGGGTTGGCTAACGTGCATGTCTTCCTTATCCCCGGACAGGGTGCCCCTGGCGAGCGTGGTCCTGCTGGCCTCGGGGGGCCTAAAGGAGCCACTGGTGATCCTGGACGTCCCGGAGAACCCGGCCTGCCCGGCGCTAGGGTGAGAATGAAGGGGAGATGGCATCAGCTCCCAGCCAAGCTTGGCCTTGACAACTGGGACTGAAAGGGTTAAGATGTTTAGAGCAAGCAACGTTTTTTGGGGTGGGGGGGGAGCAGAAATGGAACCCCAACTTCCCATGCATCTCACATGCCTCCAAAGAATCCAAGGCATCTCTCTGCTAGTGACCCACCCACAGGGCTGGCATGCGGTGCTGCAAAGAACGCCAGCTGTTTGCCCTTCAGCCAGAGTCTAAGCAGGAGCCGGCACGTGGGTACCAGTGAGGGGAAGCACTGGCTGCCAATGGGCCTGAGTAAGACTTTGGGTGGGGGGGATGTCGAGAGCTGGGTTTCGGTGCCGGCCCCCTGCCCCTTGCCACGTTTCCCAGCGTTGGGTATTGCAGGTATTGTCAAAACCAGGAGGAGCCCATCACTGAAATCCCAGAGCTTTGGATGGACCTTTTCCCTTTGCTATCCAGCGGTTTATCACCGATATCCCATCTTCTGCACTTGTAGCTCTCCCGAGGCACCAGCAGGTGGCACCAACCACAGCAGCCTGGGTGTCGCTGGGGCGCGCTCCCCTTCTGAGCCTTGGGCGGGTGGTAATAAGGGAATGTGCAGCCCTGCAGCCCAGCGATAGGGGGCGCTCAAACAGTGCTGAGCCCTCCCTGCCTGACTCCAGTGTAACTGGCTGCTGCGGGAGTCCCCTGGCTGGTGACGCGACCCCGTGAGGCTGAACCATATAGGGGCAGATCCTCGGAAGGACACCGAATACTGTATTCAAAGCATCCAGCCGCGACGAGGAATTCCCACTCCCCATTGAGAATCACACGCCGCCCCTCCCCCGCAGTGAGAATAATTCCCGCACCTGGGCTCCGCTAGGCATGACAAAGGCTCCCTTCTTTTTCTTTGTACTCCAGTAGAACCCAGAGGCCCTAATAGATCAGGGCCCCATGGTGCCAGGTGCTGCACAGACAC